AAGAAGGTTGGACACAAAAGGAGGCGGTCACGAGTTCGAACTTGGAAGAAGACACATTTAAGGTGAAAATATTTGGACGATGATGTGGCGAGAAGAAGTGATGTGGCAATGACGTGGAAGTGGCTAGTGATGATGTGGCGGTTGGCGGTGATGATGTGGCCGCCAATGGCAATGACGTGGAGGTCGGCGGTGATGACATGGCAGCCGGAGACGATGGCGTGACACCGACGGTGATGACGTGGCATTGGTAAAGCTAATTCTTCTTAGGCATTACTTTCAGCGGTGACAAGAGTGTCGCCGTCGAAAGTGTTTTCTGCGGTGACTTTTTTGTCGCCGCCGAAACTTCTAAAAGTCGCCGATGAAAGTATCTTTTAGCGGCGATGTTTTTAGTCACCACTGAAAGTTTTCAGCTACGGCTGCTACGGCAACGACTTTTCAGCGGCGACTTTTGTCGTCGCTGAAAGTCAATTTTTTTGTAGTGGGAGATACAATCTCATCGTTTTAAAAAATTAATAAGGCTTTTGGATTTAAACTCAACCAATGATGTTGTCTGATCCATAGGGATTTGTGGAATGGGAGGAATAGGCAAAACAGCTCTTGTGGAACAAGTGTTTAACAAGATCTTCCTCTTTAATGATTCATGTTTCGTTGCTAACGTAAGTGAATATGAATTCTTCATGGAAAAAGTACTTCTACGTCTAACCTTAAAACAAGAATGCGTATATTCAATGGACAACATTTGCAGAAGCCTGGGACAACGTAAGATGCTTATAGTTCTTGATGATGTTGATACGATAGAAAAGTTGAAATCTTTTCCTAGAAGCAAAGATGGGTTTGGAAGAGGAAGTAGAATTATCATAATATCAAGGGACCAGAACATCCTTAAGATGATCGAAGTTGATGAAATTCACAAAGTTGAGCTATTAAACACGGAGTAAGCTCTTCAACTTTTTTGTGAGATTGCTTTTGGATGTGATTATCCAATGAAAGGTTATGAAGAAGTGACCTTTGAAGCACTTAAATTTGCTGGTGGCCTTCCATTGGCAATTAAATCATTAGGTTCATTGTTGAGAGGCCAAAGTTTATCAGAATGGCATGTTAGATTGAATGAACCGCAGAAAGTTATTGAGCCTTCAATTTTCATGGCGCTTAGAAGAAGTTTTGATGGACTGAATCAGTTGCAGAAAGAGGTTTTTTTAGATATTGCATGTTTTTTCGGAGGGAAGAAGATTGAATGTGTGAAGGAGATTTTACATAGTAATTATGAAATGTCTTGTGTTGATGAACCAATTACAGTTCTTACGATAAATCATTAGTAACAATATCAGATCAGAGAATAGAAATGCATTTTATGTGCAACAAATGGGTAAAGAAATTATTCGACGAGAATCTGCTGAACTTGAAAAGAGGAGCAGAATATGGTGTTATGATGATTTTTGTCAAGTGATGGAGAGCAACAATGTAAGTATTATTTTTAAAATTTTGCTTATTATGAGTAAATTGTTATTTCATTCATGTGTGTGTATATATTGTTAGTTAGTTTTGATCTAAAGAAGATAACAATTGCATATTAATTCTTTTTCTTTTTCTTTTTTTAACGTGGACATCTTATAGATGTGAATAACATTATAGAAGAATAATGGTACATCTAGCATCTTGATTTTTTTCTCAAATGTATCCAGCACCCTTATCTTATTTTTTTAGTACATCCAACACCTTGATCAGGGTGTTAAATGTAAATGAAAAAATGACATCGAGATGCTGAATACACCCAAAAAAATAAGATCAGGATGCTGAATATACCTCTATTTTATTATAGAATATAAATTACTCTTTCAGTTTCTTTTTATAAGATATTTTTATACCAGATCACACAGATTAAAGAAGTTGGATAAAATTAGTTGATTGTTCTGATTTTTTTTTTCATAATTTAGTGTGACATTTCAAAGCTGTAATTTGATTGCTTTTAATATAATTTTATCTTTTTACAATTAATATTGTCGCAAACCTTAGTAAATGAAAGCCATTATATTTTTGGAAGAGCAAATTAATAAATGCTTCACTATTTTTCATAAAAGAAAACAGATCTTATATCATGAAACATGAAAAGCTTGTAAAATATATCTTATGAAAAGGAAGGGGAGGAGAAATTTTATTGAGGAAAGGAATATATTTTGGGATGAAGATAGTTTATTATTCTAAAGTTGTTTATTTTCTTTATATAACATTATTTAGAGTTCCTAAGTTTAGCTTTTCAATTTATGATATAATGTGTTCGTTATATTCAGGGAGCTGCACACAATCAAGCTACAGTGATCTTGAATGAAGAATATCCGAAAGGCCGTCCGTTGAAAGCTGAAAGTTTATGGAAAATGAGTAATCTTAGGCTCCTTATTTTTCATAAAATAATTTTTTCTGGAAATATTTATTTTCTTTCTAATTCATTGAGATATATTTCATGGCATAAATATCCTTTTACTTTTTTGCCCTCAAATTTTCAACCTCATCAACTTGTGGAACTAGTCATGTCTGATAGCAGCAGCACAGAACTATGGACGTGTGAAAAGGTGAAGAATGTCATATTTCTTGATTCAAAATCTAACATGTCTTGGGAGTTATACTAGTACTTGTTAAAATCAATTATCAACCCAAAAACACAGTTATTTTATAAGAAATTGTCTTTATATTTTTAACGATTTTTAATTTTGGTACCTATACTTATACTGAGTATAGGGAACAAAACCAACGATTTAAAATTATAAGATCAAAACTAAAATTTGATCGAAGTGTAAGAACCAATAATGATATTAGTCTTGATAAAAAAGAATTGTATTTGGTGGAGGATATCTAATTAATTTTAATCAAAATATAGGTGTTTGGTTAATGATTTCATAATTGATTTAACCAAAATATGAGTGTTTAGATGGGTGTAGGCCAAAACAAAGGTCATGATAGATACTCCCTTCGTCTCTTATTATAAAATCCAATTTTTTAAATAGGTTTGTCCCTTTTTATAAGATCCTTTTTAAGTTTGTCTGAACATTTAATATATTATTACCTATTTTACCCCTAGTTTAATGCATTTAATACATTCCCTTTCTTCATTTATCTTATTATTACTCTCTCATATTTATCTATTTATATATAGGGGTATATTTAAAAAAATTGTATTTACTACATATTACTCCTCTGGTCCTAATTATAAGACCCAATTGACTTATTTGAGGAGATTAAGGAAGTAAGTTAAGTTGGTTATTTATAATAAATAAGTGTTGTTATTCCTAAAATATCCTTGCTAATTAAGTATATTGGCTAAAACTATCATTATTAGAAGGATTATCTTGAAAAAAATGCATAAATATAAGAGAGAAAATGGATTGGGTCTTATAATTAGGACCAAATAAAAAGTCAAATTGGGTCTTATAATAAGGACCGGAGGAGTAATTACTTTTAACTAATTTTAACTGTTTTTTTAAGTGTGCAAGTTAGTTACAAAGATTTTATAATAAGAGACGAATTAGTAATTACTGTGCTCCCAAACAGGCACCAACTATTGTTTGATCGCTTTACTCAGATATGGTTGCCAAATTTGAGAAGCTTGAACCTCTCTGGCTCAAAATATTTAAAGAAGCTGCCACATTTTGTGTTGCTCACAAATCTAGGGAGGTTAAATTTCGAAGGATGTACTTCATTATCGCGGCTTGATTCGTCTATTGTGCTGCTTCCAAGGCTCAAGCACCTGAATTTGAGAAACTGCACAAATCTTATCAGTATTCCAAATGAATTATTTGACCAAACCTTCCATGAATTTCGTTGGCCAGGGAAGAAGGCCTCTCTTGAATTCCTAAATCTAGCTGGTTGCTCACAATTTGCCACATGCTTGAATTTCAACAGCACTTGAAAACATTGCTTCCTATCTGACAATACAATACTGGGTTTTTCTTTCAAGTGTTCAATTTCACAGTACTTCGCTAGTCTTATTTATAAAGTAGAGAAAAAAAAAATTTTTTGTTATTTATAAGTCACTTCATTAAATTTTTAACATAAATGTATCATATTATTCTTCATTTATTATAGTGTAGATAGTTTTTTTTTAGAAAAAGGTATATATTAAATAAGAGTAAAGTTAGAAAGTTACTTTATTTTAATAAAGAGTTAATGCAGTTTAATATTTTTCTTAGTATGTGTGAAACATGTTGAAAGTACCTTATAAATAGAACCAGAAGAGTATTTTCTAGTGGCTCAATAAGAATGATGATTAAATTGGAGCTTTTTAAGGCTCCGTTCGCTATGAGAGAAATGAAGAAGAAAAGAAAGAAAGAAGAAGTTTTAATGAAGTTGATTTAAAAAATTAAAGTAGCATTGTTAAAAGCTTTTAAGTAATTTTTATCACTTTTTATCTTACAGTTTCTCTTTATTAAAATTTTAAAACCTTATTTCTCCAAAAAAATTTTAGATTAAGCTCATTAAATTTTTTTTCTCCTCTCATACCCTCCATTTCTCTCATATCAAACACAGAAGTATTGTCAAATACTGCTCTCTTCTGGGTTTTTAATATAATACTTAATTTTAAATCAATTTTGATTCTAAATATAAAACATATTTATTATATTTATCAATTTTTTCTAAATTAACCTTATAAATAATCCATTAACCACAATTAAGTAAGAAAAAGAAAAATATTAGGAAAAATAATTATAATGTTTAAAAAAATCATATTTCTTATAATTAATTAACTAACTCATAATTTTCTTAATATAATCAAATTAGTTCAATAAGTCTTATATTAAAAATCATTAAGAGTATTATCCATTTACTTAAACTAAGAGCACTAAATCATTATAAGTTCACCACTGGTTCTAGGAAAATGGACTTTTGCTGCTCAAATACGGGATTCAAGTTTGAATACGTGTGAATTTAAAAGACGCTTTTAGGAGAATCACCATTAAATCTCATATGACCTATTTACATAGCTATATTAAAAAGAAAAATTCCGCAAATTTTACTGCCGCCGTACATTTGCAAGCCAATGGAATGAAACTCAGTTAGCTCGCTTGAAAAGTTGTAGGGCATAATTAAGATTATTACCAAATGACATCCTCTGAAATTAAATCCACTCCCCCCGCCTTCACTGCAGAGTTTATGAAAGACTGCATTACAAGGAGTCTCCCTTAACCGTACGTAGCAAGGACCTAACAGATTGATAAAATTCCCACCCCGAAAGCTCAATAACAGTGATGAATTAATTATATGTACCAATCAATCTAGAAAACAGATGGCATACCTACACCATAAGAAACCTCAATATCCCCACCAATAATAGTGAGTTCTAAGGCTTGTAGTTCTAAAAGGAACTTCATGAATGGGTGAAAATCCACAAACCCAAAGGAAGGATGTACAGTAACCTCGACAGATATGCCATGTCAGAAAGAAGCTAGGGGAATTCTGGATGAAATATAGGCTCATAAATCATTCTCTACGTTTTCAGCCTCTTCTGAGCTTGATCTGTGTCTTCTCCGTTGCCTGCATCTCTAAATTGTGCCATTGCTTGATTGCTAGATGGCATATTATCATGATTCTGCACAACAAAACGAGATGTTAGCCTAAGCTAAAATGCAAGCATTAGAGTATTAAGTTTTCTAACATGTAATCTACTTCTAATTTACGTTGGCAAAAAAAAAAAAAAAAGAACCTACTTCTAGTTTACATACTATTAAGTCCTAAAACTAGTTTAAGTTTAAAACACAAATATTGAAGTTCATAATTTAATGTATCTTATCAGTGTATCGGTCCATTTTCTAAGTTAGAAAAATCAGAGCCTAACTCTGTCAGACCAATCACAACAAGTCATCTAAAATCTTCAGTTGGTATCTCACACACCAACTAAAATAAACATTTGTCATCAAAATGTTAATACATATTTTCCCTGTTTGGTATACTCGGGTATTTGATGGGAAGTGAAAGTGGAGTTTAAAAACATGTCTGGGATAACATAGAAGTCTTGCATAGTTTTTAATTGGGAAAAGTAATTATAATATGAAATTACTAAAATACCCTTCTCAGGAAGAAAAAAATTCCTCCAACCAAAACCCATCCACCATCAAAAAATCCATCAGGAAAACTTCCACGACCAGCAAAACCAAACCCAGCAACAATCACAGTAAAACACTCAAATGGAAAAACTCATTCACTTTGATGTGAGGAGTGATGGAGGAGGAGGAGATGGCAGCTTGGGTGGTGATATAGCTTCATTCTTAGTCAGGCGGCGGGTCAGTGATTGATCAGCAAAAGTGAAAGAGGGAAGCAATAATAGAAGGTGGGGAGAGGGAAGACATAGGGTTCAATGATTGTCATTGCTCTGTCATCCATCGATGTTGTTGCCATCACCATACGCTGAAACTTCACAATGTGTGAAGCCACAAGCAGATTTGAGGCCAAAGCCATTAAGGGAGAGGTTGAGAGATGAAGACGCAGGCAAAAGATGATGGAGACAACAGAGGCTAAGGAAGGAGGGCGGACGGTAGAGGACGGATAAGGTGGCAACAGCAAACAGAAATGAGGAATTAGGGTTGAAAAATGAAGAGGCCATAGTTGTCAATAGATTAAATTTATAATGGGTATACGGACATACCCAAGCGTATTGAATATTCATGTTTTCCCAAGACACGTTTCCAGCAAGTAGGCAATACCATAACGCCAACAATGTACGGTAGAATAAGAATAATAATCTTGTCACATTTAAGAGCGAGTTATAATACCATAGAAGTAGATGTCCCACAGCCAAGTCCTTTGTTTGCCCGCTTACCAAGATTAATTTGAACAGAAATGCTAGCCTGTGAGAGATCTAAACCAGCACTCTGTAGCGCTTGAGTCAGGTTGTGTAACAGCCTGTTCATCAAATATGTCAAGTTTATCATTAGAGCTGAAAAACCAACCACATTAGCACAACAAATGCCGCATGCTTTTTCACTCAACATCAAAGGCCAGAAATTCAA